GCAAACGTTGTCGTCATCGTACTCTAGGTCGCGCAGCTTTTCTCCAGCTGCCCATTCAATCCAAACATTTCGGGGACCATAAAGGATTCGCGGTAAACTGAGTCCAAGACTCCTTTTAGGTCAAAGAAAACGACAACCGTTGGTCGACGATGNCGACGATGTGCATGACGTAGTTCGAGGAATGAAATCAGCGTGAAGATTCGGATATTTGTTTCCCTGATGGGTGTCAGACATCTAAGTATGACGGAAGCTAATGTCTTGGTAACGATTGGGATCCGACTTATTCCGCGGTGATTGGCGCAGTCGTTGCGAGATCCCTTATTAAAAATTCGAAAGATCAACGATTCGCTCCAGGATGATGCAGTGCGCTCTTTCATTCAAATCTTTTGCAGTAAGTTAGTAATGGAATCTATGAGGTCATCGCCGCTCCATCTTGAAAAGTGTGAGATGAAGCCCGTCAGACCCTGTTGCTTTTCCTTTCTTCATATCTTGGGTACAAGATTGCATTTCTGCTTCAGCAGGAGGTTCACATGGCACTGCCCAAGGAGCCTGAGCTACAACAGACAAGATAATGTGGTTAGCGCCTGACCAGCTAAACTGTTCCTTGAAGTACTCCACCCACCGGTCAAGCCGTTGTTCCCTGCTATGAATAGCTTGTCCACTTTTTTTGCAGATTGTTTCACTAACTGTGGCTCGTGGATCTCCCGTGTTGCATATCAGTTGGAACAGTCTTCGACTATTCTCTGATTCAGCTACTACTTCCATTTCACTAGCTCTTGCTGCTCACCAATTTTCACGGTCTTTCTTGAAACTCTTCGTGAGCTGACGTTGCAGACGCCTCCTACCCGTGTATTGATATCGGACGGTCGCTATTTATCGCTTTTTATTCATCAGTGCTATTGACTCATCAAATATCCAATGCCTCGAGGGGGCCGCCACTTCAGATCCACAGGCAACATTCGCCGTGGAGTGCATCGCTTATCTAATCTGATCCCATTGTTTATCTACATCACTATAATACAGCTCTTGTCCTAGTTCTGATTCGAAACGGGCATGAACGGCTGGGCCATATAAACGATTTTTTTTATTACACACCTAGGTGTGATGAACAGCAGACGGGGTAAACCCCATAGTCACGAGGACCTGCTGTTCAGTGGTTGAAATCGGCAACCTAAGCCCTGGAACTTGGAGTGGCGAACCGCACAAGGCCCCGATAGGCTAGGCGTGGTATTGAACCGGACGACAGCAGAGCTGCCTGCCACCAAAGTCGGGTGGCGGTGGCGGGGCTCGAACCTCGGACCACAGGGNCCACCCATCTACTAATTGAGTTTGATGGGCTGGTATGTTATCAGTGAGTCGGAGAGTGATCTGCATCAAAACAAATGCGTGGTTAGACGCTATGCAGGTGGTTCTGTAGGACCTGTGATTTTGCGCTGAACCACCCCAATGGTAGTTTACTGCTGTGGTCGATTTGAGTTAGCGTACCACTTGAACTGGAGCGCCACGTTGCCGTCCGTTGAGAGTTGTGTCGACAGTCGTTACTGGATGGGAACCGATGGTGATCTGCTTAGAAGTCGATCGCCTTTATCTGTTCGTTGGCAGGGTAGAGCGCAGTGACCGTCTAGGCAAGCCTCTGATGAGCTCAGTTTTCCAACTTGGGCGTTGAAATGACCTGAAAGCACAACTATATCGAAGCTTCGGCTCAACCGAATGAGTTCGTTGAGTTTGTCACAGAACTCGTCTTTTTGTGCGTCAGAACTGCAGTTGATCGGTGCGTAGACTGAACTGATGAATAAATACCCTTTGGTGTTGCTTCGTTTTCGCACGCTCGTATACCCTTGGAGCTCCATCGCACATAAGAGACTGTTGATGCTGGTGCTTGTGACGCTTCCGTTCTATTGTTGCGTACGCCACCCTATCCTACTGAACGGGCTTCGTCGTCACTTAATGTGCGGAGGAAGTGCCTCAAAGACAAATCCGGTTCACTTAAGTGGCTTATTGTATTAAGATCCTGAATTCGCGTCTCCAATAAGCAGCAGACAGCGATTCCCAAAGAGTCCATCGTATTGCCCAGACAGGCTTGCTTAATCACCCTCATCACAGTCCTCACGTTGAAGACCCCCAGATCGAGAGGTTGACGAGGTTCTAGAATCTGCGATATATTTCGCAGTAAGCCAATTACAGCGCTGCTAGGAAACGATCTTTGGCGAGTGACGAACAAGTTGTCTAGGGGCATGTTACGGGTCGGAAGAAGGGGCAAAGGGAGAGAGTTGGGTATGCAAGAAAAAGAGTTAGGTAAAAGTTGGAATATATGAGCAATAGCCCACTTATCAATACCCACCCCGTCTGATCTGATGGGCAGCGCGGTCCTAATTATCCTTCGCGACGACCGATGCAGTATTGAGTTATTTATACTTTGTGTATGCATTAGACTCCTCACTTCATGTCCCGTATGATCATCTTCTGTTTGCCTATAAACTAAATAGGTGCAGTTTCCTCACTTTTACATAAAATTACCAAATCCTTGTATGAACCTACGAAATCTGTTCGCTGTGTCTCTGGACTACTCGTCTGATTTTGATTGTATTCCTCGAACCCTTCCTCGTAAACTGGAGACCAGTTGTCTCAGGCAGTCATTAGCTTGGCCTGCAGATTATTTCTCCGGGAGAACTCAATGTACCGGGTTAGGCCGGAGGACATCGAAACCATTGAATAATTCTGGCGCACTTCAAGTTGCATTTCTTTCCCCACACCTATTTTCTACGTGTATTAGTAACTTATCTACTAACGTCTATACTTCTGTCTTTCGATACGCTGACGATGTGGCTTTATGCCACGCCATCTTTGACTCTTCTGATCTTTCATAATTTTCTGACAACTTGTAAAACGTTCAACAATTTTATGCCACATCTGGCCTCTCTGAATCCCTCCGAATTTCTCTTTACATTATCACGCTCTTCTTCCACATATGAATCCGTATCAATTGGCTTTGAATCTTCATCGGACCTCTCACATTCAACATATCGCCAGTAAGCTTCGACGACTTTTTTCATATTCGTAGACTTCATTAGTTTTGTATTCAATAATCGATTATTTCCAAATTCGTGTACCAGTGTTTTCCCCGTTTTACTTTATTGTTCATTTGTTATTTTCTCCACTCTCCTGAAGAACGATTTTAAAATGCTTTGACGTGGACTGACCATCATAAGCCGGGTCTCTTCAATCCCACTGGAGGGGCTGGTAAATAATCTGTGCGAACTTTATCTGAATGTATGTGAAAATTTTGCACATAGGATTCTCATGGACTCCATACATCTGCTACAGGCGGATTTAACTTCCTCTTGTTCCATCCGTCAACTTGGTCCCAATGCCGTTGTGTTCCCTTTAGAATAAACATACTGTAACTCTACAGTACCCACATTAGCATATATTGTGGTTAACACAGAACAGGTTTTCACAGACTTCGGTAACAGTTTTGGGATTTAAATCTTTTTGTTATTATTATTTATTTTTCTCTTTTTCTCCAACTTGTATATTTTTAACTGAAATGAAGGCTTTATGCCTGCCTACAGAAGTTATTACAATAACAATAACAATATTGTCAGGGTGTTCAGCCAAGAAGAAGGAGAACAATTACGGTTCTCGTCCAAAGCCTTTAGTTCTAACAAGAAACTGACCTGAAGGCAGCAGGTAAAGCGAAATAAAGGCCCATTTCCTTGGATCGATTACGCTTCTACCATTTTACCTAGCACGAAGTTATTAAAACCCTAACCAGGAGACTGGGTCACATAGGTCCCGTTACGCTCCCCGGCTGGGGACCTCGGGATGATCGTAAACGATAGTTAGAGACACTGAGTGATATGACTGGGTGTCGCAACCGGTGGTGTTCGTGCATCTTCTCAATCTCTTTGCAACCTTAGACCACTGAACTTCCCCATTCTCTTTTCGACTCCACTTTCAAGTTTCCTCTCTTCTACTATTCTTCATCCAAATAGGCAGCCAAAAGACAGCAACCAAAACCGGCTCACGAATATGCGTGGTTAATGGTTGTTCAAACTGAAAACCACCATTTTACCGAATGAGACGCTAACTCGAGTTTAGCCTCCATCCTGGAGGACCAGGAGGCTGGGCTTCGTCTAACCTCTACCCTTCGACCTTCCAGGCGTGATTAGATATTCGACTTGACAAAAGTAATTCTGTATAGCTCGTTGGGTCATAGAGGTGCGCAAGCCGTCACACCACATCAAGGTGCAGTCCCTTCCTGATAGCAACTCAGTATATCACATCAAGCATTCAGGCACATAATTAAATTATTTATCGACCCGCCCAATATGTCGCAAGTCCGCTCAGGATGACTCTGTAACGAATCTGACGGTATATTGTAAGTGACAACAAAGAGTAAAGACCGTTTGTTATCATAGTGAAAATGGATTCAAAAGTATGTTCTGAATACATGATGTGACACAACAGAGGGTAATTTCTTCATGTGCTTTCAACTTATTTGTGGGAATATTTTGTAAAAATGATTTTGTTATAGGAAGGTGAATAAATTTTGATGTGTAATACTTCATTTGACAAGATGCTAGAACTGTTCCTTTATTTCATTCACATTTTAGACAGGGAAAATAGAGCATTTGGTTCCCACTCTTACACCAGATGGACTGGAACAAATGCGCAACATGCTTCAAAGGATGGATGCCATTGCAAGGGTAAGTTTATTTTTTTATGGAATTAGCGTGAGAACAGTTTTAAAGGTAGAAGGCAAAACTAGCTGACTTTGCTACTGAATCCAGTCTTGGATATTTAGGGAATAAAATGAATCGCTGAATTTGGTATACTCAAAATGCCAAACATAAATGTAAAGTTGATGTTGGTGAGTTCTCCGAGAACTCACCAACATCCGCATCCCGAGCTACAATCATTCCACATCATTTCAAATAAATGTCAAGTTTGGAAGGTAGGAATGAATTCAGCGTAAGCCTGGATCCTTGGTTTGACACTTAAGAATCTAGTGGTTGAAGGCTGGATGAAAAACACGAAGAGGGATGTTCCATAACAGAGCTGTTCTGGGTAGAGAAATAGTTGGGATACAGTCATACGGCACTTGAAAATAAATACCTCATGGGAGTGAATAGCAGCCTGAAGCATCGACTGTTGGCAAAATATGAATGGCATAACAACAGAAGGAAAAAATTCAGAGGGACAGAATCCAAAGGAGATACGGTACAAAAGGACATATAAGCCATTGCTCGGGGCTGAGATACTAAATACAACTTGGGTGATAAAGAAAGATGGTCAATAAGACCATAAGTTGTATAAAGTCGAATAAGGATAATGAAGAAGATAGAGCATCACTACACAACCCGATCAAAAACGAGATGAGTATGGGCCTTTTAAATAGTTCAAGGTGGGTGAGAGTGAAGTAACGTTCGGAGCGGAATAAAAATAATAATAAGCCCAGCACGAAAGGCAATAGAGGAAATAGGCTGAAGAGATTGAAAACCGAAAAGATGAACTCAGAACACAGTACAAATTTTCGAAATAAAAAGGGACAAACTTAAAATGTAAATGAGAGACAAAGACTGAAGGCTGATAGAAATTAACATGATAAATCTTTTGAAAGCGCGGATGAGAAAGAACACAGATGTTGGAACTTTAATAGGAATTAAAAAGCTGTGAGGGCATATTGGACACGATTAAGGTTCGCAATGGCGAAGCGTTAGGAAGGATAAAATATAGAAATATATAAGGAATATTGCGATGCACATACTTACCGGAAGAGGCTCGAAAATTGTGGCACCGAATTGGTTGCAGATAATGCGATTGCAGAAGAAACTTGAGATCCCTGACACGGATTTCGAGGCAAACGTGAAAGTGGATGAATTTTCCTAAAAAAACTGTCACACGATAGCGCGTGATAAATTTCGTAAGGAGAAGGTCTACAGTGTTAAAGATTTACTGTTTAGTCATGGGAACCGACAAAGAAAGCCTCAGGACTTCGAGTGATGAACCACATAAGGCCCTGCTGGAATCGTTATGGTGTAGAACCGAACGACGGTCCTAAGTCTTTCGAGGTGTCTAATAGAGCCATGTGTGAGTTTTCGTGACTTTTGAATCAAGATGGCCGATAATGAGGGACTAGGGTTAGTTAATTGCCGATTAATCTTTTTTAACATTAGCAGTTTAAATTTTAGTTATCTGGTATTAGTGCCCAAACAACTCATGTGTTGTGTCTGTTTGCAAGTGCTTGTATAATGATTTGTTCGGCCCACAGTCTCAACCCAACTAAATGTAAAATACAGGGACCTCTTTGATATACTTTTGTGTATATGATAAAAAGAACCGTCCCGTTTGGGTGGCTTGTTTGTATGTTTAAAACCAAATAACTTGCTGAACCTTTCTGGTGGTGAAGGAGGGGAAAGATGATTGGTATTAGACCAAGCAGGGTGTGATAATGATGAGGCAAATAGCATGTGATTAGCGCAAACCGAGATAATCGCTTTCTCGTGTATGGGTAGTGCCGAATCAAAAGTCTGAGTTCATGTGCACGACTCGGCGGCAGGTGCATTTATAGATAGAAAATTAGCCTGAAAGCAGCGAAAGACATACTGGAACCAGAACACCAATCATTATAAACATAAAAAGCCATTAAGTTACAAAAACTATCCTAGTTATCAAATCTGTGTACGGTGCGTAAAAAGCAGGAGAATCAACAGAATCCCACCGCAAATCACAGTGAAGCAAACTGCTTACTGCTATCCAAGATAGTATCATATGTAAATTGGACTGGGGATGAGTCTCTTTAAAGGAGAAAAGGTGAACCTCTATCATCAAACTACGGAAAAGTTGCAGGCAAATGCACTCCTCCAATTATTCTGACTCGATGAAAAGCTGACAACAAATGCAAGAAGGAAATATCCCGATGAACCAAAAAATGGAGGACATTAGAAAAAAGGTAGTTGAAGTAAAATCAATTTGCATGCATGATCCACTTAATATAGTGCTGACTGTGCATCGTTTTTCGATGAACATAACTTCATTTGTTTTCAATAAGAATTTTGCTTTAATTGATCGTCGTGTCTTTTTCATGAAATAGCATGTATCAAAATTATTTATTCATAATTTTATGATGCACACTTGCTTTCGAAATTAAGTTTGAACTAGTCGGCGAGCGAATTATGGTTTTCGAATATTCCTAGTCAGGCTCTTACATATCAAAAGTGGAAAAGTGATATACATATATATAGCTAATTTCAAATGCTGTTTTTGACAGTTCAGTTTTTGCTCTATATACTAAACATGCACAATCAACAGTGAATAAAATTTTGATTTGGTAGTTTTATTCAACACCTGCTTTATAATTATACGAAGTGGATGGCTATTCCTGGGCCATTTTTTATCTAACATTTCTGCTAAGAAAAATGTAATATGCATATTTCTATCGTAGTGAAAGAGCTACACGTGCCTCTAATTATCCAGTATTTTCACTTCGATCTGGAAGGGGTTTGTTAGATGGAGTTGAGAAACATACTTGGGCAGGACTCCGCTGATTTTCATAGTGACATTCAACTATCCAGGATAAGGTATTCCAATAGACGTGGTGAAAGATAGATAAATTTGTCGTTGTTACTGTCTTCTATCATCATTCTTTTTTGCTTGGTTTTCTGTTTTCTGATAGCACGCCCGCTCCGTTGGTGTTCGTGTTATGGTAGATGCTGAACAAAGCTATTTTCAACCCGCAATCCGACGCATAACCACGGAGATGATGCGGCTGTTCAATCGTGAGAGTGCAGTCGTGTTCAACACGTATCAGTGCTATTTGAAGGCAAGTTTGATTTTCACCGAAATGGCTTAATCTCTTTTCTCTCTGTGTTGGAGTGCCCCTGGTTGAGCTCAATCGGCCGCTGTTTCGTTTGGACTGTATCTTGCTCCTGCGTATTGCACGTACTGTACACTTTTTCATTTTTACTTCCCTTTATTGAATACATAATGATACAATTTTCAAGAAGGGGAAGGTGGTAAATCAATGGACTGCCATAAATCACACAATGGGCAAAGTCAGGTGCTGGTGGTGGGATTCAAACACGCCTTCCGGGGCGATAATTTGATGACCACTGCCAGGCCAACCAAAAGACAGCAACGAAAACCGGCGCACGAAAGTGCATGATTAATGGTTGTAAGAACCGAATTGACTTCCAGAACGAATAGTCATCGGTTGGATACTCAAGGCTATCCTTCACTGCCTATCGGTTCCCGTTGCTGCCACTTAAAACCAAAGCGTAGACTTCCTTATGACTGTTGATTGATGATTGACCGTTATAACCGAAAGCATTGACTCGAAGAACCCGTGATATAAATATCTACACATCTTCCGTTGTTGATGTACTCGATTTAGCTCAGATGCTTTCTCTCTGTCTTCACGTATTTCTATCAAGATATCGAGGACGGGTCATAACAAATTGGGATTATAATTACAATGGTCGGCAAATATGCTGATTATAGGCAGATACCATACTTCATGATCAATAAACAGTCTCGGTCTGCAGTTGCACACGGAATCAGACATCATCATTTTCAATGAACTGTGACGTACCTGCAGAACTCCTCGTGATCAATAGGCATTCTTCGACCCGAAATGGTAGTGTCGTCCAAGTAGCAAGCTGTACCGTGAATACCGCACACCATTACTGATACTTCCGAATATGATAATCACGAGCATAATACGTTCAATTGCTGATATATATCTTCATTTTCGTCTGTTCTCCGAGCTTGGATGTATATATATATATATATATATATATATATATATACATCCAAGCTCGGAGAACAGACGAAAATGAAGATATATATCAGCAATTGAACGTATTANTAATACGTTCAATTGCTGATATATATCTTCATTTTCGTCTGTTCTCCGAGCTTGGATGTATATATATATATATATATATATATATATATGTTTGTCACAATAACCTTGTTTGCAACACTGGGTAACCATTGGATAGACAGCTCTTTCAGAGTCAATAATAATGTTTTTGTTTCACCGTCTAATTTTTCATATTTTTCTTTGTCGCTTTTGCAAACTTTTCATCAGTAGCCGTGCTGACATCCTCATTGCTTGTGAAGTGGTATTATTCTACATGTACCCGTTCTGTTATATCTTCTTCAACGAATATTTTCTTCCGTTGTTCTCATTGTGGTCAACTTGATTAACCGTTGATTTTTCTAAAAAGAGTGGGAGGGGAGGGGGGGGTTGTGAACAAAACAACCGGTACTCTGAATGATTAAAAGTTGACGGAGCGCTTATACTTCTATTCAGCTTTAATTGATTAGCTTTTTTCATTATTTACATTCAGAGTGCTCATGAGAACTTGCATCACGATTTGAACTATGCCCTGGCGGAAGATTTCTTCTTCGGTGCAAAGCTAGTTCGCGGTGCCTATATGGAACAGGTTAGTTCAGAGTCACTGATGTACATTGACATTATATTCCTAGTTTCAGTTATTTTATACATTAGAGATCTCACAGAATATACCAGCGGCACACATTGGATGAAAACGCAGTTTAGTTTTCCATAAAACATGATATGATATGAAATATGATCTATCAGTCAGTTGATGAGTCACCGAAAAGAAGCTGGTTCGCTAAGCTGCGTTTCCATTCATAATGAACTTATTGGGAGGCTATAATATTAATTAATTATACTTACTATAATTATTATTAATTTTTCCCCGGAACTCTGGTTTGATTAGGCATCAGCTGAAAATTCTGGCATGATAATTCTATTAATAGTTCAGATGCCAGACAGAAGTGAAAACTGATTTATCCGTCATTATGGTCTCTGGTCAATATTTGCATGCCATTACCGATTGCTCACAGACTAAAACAAAATTTAAACTANTAAACCAGTGTAAATCTCGCTCGTCGTACGATACATGAACATGATTATCCAATCTGTTCTGCTACAAATTGACCAGCCGATCATTTATTGTGAACACCGGTTACATGCGCACACACCGCATCATTGTCCTATTGTCCATTCTCCTATATTACCTAACTGTGTTGTCAATTTCATCTTCCCAGTGATCCACACCGTTGACACATACGCACGCACCATTAGTATGTTTGATCTACTACATTCTCGTCTATGATGTTCTCATCTATCCCACCATTCGATTGACTCGGACACCTGTCTATACATACACACACATGTATACAGACTCACCGCGCTGTCGTTTCATGGCGCATCCTAATGACTAACGTTCACACCCCCTGCATTTCCACTGATTCTGTCACCTTCCACAGATTCAGGTGTTCCTGTTTGGCACCACCGGGTTATTCGTCCCATTGTCATCGCACTACGCACTTGCTTACTCGCGGTCGTTGCTTGTTGAACTACTGGCTTTATTGATCCCCATGTTTGCACAGTGCACAGTTCAAGATTCGAATATTTTTCATTATTGTAATCTGTTTCAGTACCGTTTTGTGGAAACCCACCAATATTTGTTTCGGCTTTGTTATTGTTATCACTGAACTTCTGTTCCAGTTTGGTTTTATGAAACAATGGCTCAGTCCGATTTTCTCTCCTAGGAACGTTCTCGCGCAGCCACCCTGGGTTACGAAGATCCCATCTGTTCCGATTACGAAGCCACTTCTCGAATGTATGAGTCATGTGTTGATGAAGTGTTGCAATTCATTGTAAAACGTCCCATCGGTCGAGTCTCAGTGATGATGGCCACTCACAACGAAAATACGGTGCGCTACGCATTGAAACGGTTAGTATATTTTTATAAACGCAATCATTTCGAAATTGTGGAAAGAGACTGACTAAGTTATTTTTTTACTACTTCAGGATGAAGGAATTTGGTGTTTCACCGGAACAACGTCTCATTTGTTTCGGTCAACTTTTCGGCATGTGCGATCATATCACTTTCAATCTTAGTAAGTTTTAGTCTCGTGCAAAGCGTTATGTCCACGTCTCTAGTTGAATTTTTCTGTGAAATGATAAGCTTCACTTGATTTCTGAGAGTTGACCACTAGTGTTGATAACGCTGTTTATATATACTTCACACTTGTCTGAGGGCAGACTGTATGCCAGGCAAATCATGTACAATAATCTTTATGAAAAAGACCAAAACATGGCATGTGGGCTGAATACTACCAGGTTGCTCAGGCCAAGGCAGGTGACTTTTCTTGAGGACTTTACAACCGGAGCCTTCGGCTAACCAAAGCCTGCAAGGTAGCGGGGCGGTGTGTGAAAATCGCAGTCCATTGGGAGCCGGTGTCCAGTTCATCGGATCATACGCCTTTCGGATGGGGTCAAAATTCCAAGGTGCCCAATACACCTCAATGCCCAATCAAGCCGGTGACCACTGCTACAACCGAAAAGGTGTGGGTGTGATTCGTACGGCTCCTCATGATTGGTTTGGAATCAGGGCTTTTGGCCAACTCCCCTAGGTGAACTACCAGTAGTCCACTAACCCGGTTATAGCCCCAGCTATCAGCTTTTCGTCCTCTCACTTTGGTGAGAAAACCGCCACGAGAAGGCAGTGAGTAGGGCTTCCTCAGCAGAGGCTATTCGAGACGCTTGGTCGCATGGGATCATTTCGCAAGGTGCAAGGGAAATGTGACCAACCAACCCTGGACCTTACTGAGGCTTTTGGAGGCATAATGCTGTTTGATCAATGATGGTCATGAAAGAGTCTACGTTTTTTTTCAAAATCCATGTTACTCGCTACTTAATTACCATCGCACTTCAGGATTCCTTTCTGACGATGCACTCGCTTTGTTGAATCTTTCTTTATTTCCTTATAAGTAAATAACCCTTGAATTAGCGTGTAGAAGGGTTGATATGTTTACACTCACGCTAACTGACACGTACGAAATATACACTTAGTATTATGAATGCATTGAAGTCAGCCATTTTGACCGCTTTCATGAAGATCGCAGAGTACTGAACAGCTCTTGGATTGCAGAAAAACTTTGTTCAGTCTACAATCATTTTTTCTCTGAACCCATTGCTTTTAGGTCATTCAGGTTATTCTGTATATAAGTACGTTCCGTATGGGCCTGTAGAGGAGGTACTTCCATATCTGTCCCGGCGTGCACTTGAAAACGGTTCAGTGCTATCCAATACAAAAGCTGAACGGGAGATCATGTGGACCGAACTGAAACGACGCCTAAAGGAACGTCAATTTTTCTATCAGCCTTGAAACAACTGGAGGTCATACTCACGCAAACATCACGGTCTCCGAAAACAAAACTCGCACCTTGTTTCGTTGTTTTAGGTGAAACGAGTAACTGGATTGGCACATGCAAGGAGACCGAATTTTCCTAATTTATGTACAGGTTGTTTTTGTCGATGTTTTATACAATGCTTTTCTTTACCTTTTGACTTGATTTCCCGTTCATAACTTTTTCCAATCAAGGATTCGATTTTGTACATTCTGCTTCGTCTTTTTTGTGTACTTTCTCTATTGCTAACTTGTACATAGATCGGAACACCAGGTATTTATAAAATCTTTAAATCGTTTTTTGCTTTGGTTCAGATGTTTGTGGGCAACTGCTTGCCGGGCACACTAAATAACCATCATCAGCACTCATTCAAGATATTCCCTGATCGCAATATATATTGGTAATATAGGACAAAGTGTTTTAATGTGCCGAAGGAGGACTTTTATTAATCGTAAAACATACAGATGAGGGAGCAAATGACAAGCATCTAATGGCAAATATTTATGGTGCTTTTTCGATACAAAATTTCTACCACTTGAGTCTAGGTCGGCCTCATGAAACTCAATTGAATACAAAAAGGTACACTCAGTCTTATGGGATTTTCCTTTCTATATAAATAAATAAATAAATATAAATATTTCTAAATCGGGTGCTCCCCGCAGGCCAACAAAGTGACGGTGCCGTAAATATTTGGTGTCGGGCCGGATTTACAAACCTCTTGATGCTTTTTATAAAAGAGATCGCTTGCCATAGAGAAAATTATCATCGGACATTAATGTCCACTTACTCAATTTGGCAGTGTCTTCCTATTTACAATTAACCGTCTTTCTCTTATCTGTGACTTGGAGATGCACCCTGCAGAATGCTTGCAATAAGCTCTGTACACACAAAACCTTGCGGTAGATTTATCATGAGTTAATAATAATAAGATTGTGAGGACTTCACTAGACTTCCTGAGCTATTTTAAATAAGTGGCGAAACCGTTTGACACTTAAGAGGTCTTTGGACCTCAATAACCGTTATGCTCTCTCCGTATCGCGTCCAAGTATGCTGTTAACGTGATAATTAGGTGTCCAATCACTGGTTTTCTATCAGCTTCAAGACTGCCTAATCAATTGATTTATTCATATTTTACTCACAGTCCTTTGTGAGTGGTGATGTGGGATAGTTGGTATTGATTAATTTGAACCGACTATCCTTCGAACTTCACCTTCGTGCACAATTCTCAGTTCATCGATTCAAACATACATTCGGAAGCACTAGACTCGGGTTTCGCTCTTATTAGAGCTCGTCAGTAGTGCATATCCACCGTACCGTCCGGGATTTGAACTCTGGATCTATCGCATGAAAGGCGTGTGCGTTACCACTGTGCCAACCAGCTCACACCATGGTTGAACCAAATTGCCAATTCATGTTTGTTTAGGTGTCGTCTTCAATGATAGTCACTCAATTCATTTGGCCCGACGGTTCAGTTCAGTTCAGTTTTTACAACCATTAACTATACATTTTCGCACGCCGAAGGGAGACACACACGACTATCTTTTAGAAAAATAGTTTTCTGTCCTTCGGTAGATTCGCGAAACGTGGAAATGTTTTCGTCTTACGCACATTCATTGCAGTGGGTTAATTTCCAAATCAACGCTGGAAAGCCTTGTAAGTGTTATAACCGCCATTAATTGAAATATGATAAGAGTAGTCCAAGATAGTAGAATTAGCGGCTCACTCCGTACAGATCCTTTTTCATGCATTCTTCCAACTGTAGACGGTTGAAAGTCTGGAGTTCTTTGTATTTGATGGTGCTAATTCATGCTCTCAGTGGATCATAAATGCGGTGGTTAGCCCTAGCTTTTTCCACCCTGTTGCAGCTCATGCTCTTTCGTTAAATGTATACAATTATGATTGTACTTGGGGAAAAAACAATTCAAGATGAATTCCCTATGAGTAGCTAGGGTAGAGGAAATCGAGAAGTCGCACTGACATGAATAATTCTCACTTTTGCTCTTGTTCGAAGCTCACAAATTAGGAGTTGACCTATCGCCTTTGATTGCCAGCGTCAAGCCGTTGCCCGTCCAAAAGCGATTTTAGAATAATGTAATTTGGTTAGTGTGCAGCTCAATTCTCTCTTTTGTTATCTTTGCACACGTGATGACTAATTGCGTATGAAAGAACTGGCAGCTTATGTCAATTGCATCATGATCAGCTGGATATCAGCTGATAGCTCTACAGAATGGGACCGTATTGTGTATTCGGGTGGACATAGAACCCCCAACACTAAATCTTTTGTCACACTTGTTCAGATTATTGCAGTTGTGTCTGAGGGTATAATACAACTGTTAGTGATTTCCAGTTTTTATTCAACCGGAGATTAGATTGTTGAGATAAGCAGTCCGCATGGGAATTTTGTGCTGTGTGTGGTTTACGAATTGTCTGAATGTGACGTTTGTTCTCCTCTCAGAACAAGTCGAATTCAATTTGTTGAAGTGATGATTGAATGGGTAACCCGTAACTTTTAAATAATTCATGCGACTACTACAGCTTTACACGTTGGGTATGTATAAGAGGATGTTTCGTCTTGATGTAGCGGGGATGAGGAGGCAGACCATAGTGAGACTGGACAGTCCTCTTGAGAGAGAATATTTTTTAATCCTATGGAGCATGGAAGTGATGCAATGCGACCTGACGGCTAAGTTACAAATATCAGAGATATTTCAAAATGTCACAAAGGTTCCCTGTCTGATACCCCTTATTTGGTCTATCAAACACTGACAAATTCTGGTGTCATAAAAATAGTCAGCCTCTACATACCTTCACCCCCGTTCAAATAAGTTCATGAGGATTATTGGGCTCTATGGAAAACTCTGACAGCAACATACCAGAATGGGGAGATCAGCGGTTCACTCCGGACAGATTCCTTTTCACTTATGGTTTCATACATGCCAGTCGTAGGCAAGTTGAAAGTTGGAGTTGATGGTGTTAATTCATGTTCTCAACCAACCGTCAAACAGGCTTGATCTGAATTTATTATATTGTACTGTAATAATAATGTGTGTTGAAAGGAGCAACGTGGAAGCTCGCATGTTGGTTGCCCCGGGGGAGATAACCACATAATGGCGGTGTTCGAAGGGAGTTAAGAACTTTTCCATTTTTAGATAATGCTGTCTAAATTCGAAGTATAACATTCCATTCCTATCAACAACCAAAGGAACTATAAAAGCGGCAGCATTTGACAAATACCGCACTTTAGTAATATGCAAGTGATGGTATGTCGTCTGAACACCTCTGGGTACCCGTTTCTCTTACGTAGGTCAACTCTTCGTACATGGTCTCCGAACTACAAATTATCCTACCGTCTGGCGTTCAAGGAGTTCATTCGACGAAATGTGAAGTGAAAATCAAACGATGGAAAAATACAACTGGCTGGAAAGAGGGAAGTGTTTGTGAATGTTCCTTTCAAGGGAGATAGGGAAATTAAAAATACTGGAATATCGGCCATCCTCATCATTGTACAGCCAAATGCAGTGAAGCGAACTTCACTGATCGTTGTCAAATTCGCCGTGCTTACAAGGTTAGTAGTATTATTTGAGTTGACTGGG